TTCCGATTACAAGGCGACCTCCCAACTCTTGAGCCACGATCACGCCACACAACACAAAATTAAAAAGAAGACCAATATTAAAACACATTTCTAATCCTACTGTATAGGAGGTGTTGAGGAATCGGGATCCAGTGAAGCTGATGAGAGTAGCTGTAATGTGATCAGCAAACTGGGTGCAGGCGATGACTCTTGCTGCAGTTCTGTCCCATTTGGAGTCGATTGCAGGGTTTTCTGTTTTGGTGGTCCAAAGAAAATTACAATAATTACAATAATTACAATAATTCAAACGAGAGGTGACGAGGGCATGAGCCAGGACCGTGTGACAGTAATATATCAAGGTAAGGTAGTTAAACAAAGGAGAGCCTGCGCGTGACTTTCCTTGTAATGACAGTAGACTAATTGAACTGAAGAAAATATTAAAGAGAAATGAGATGACTTCCTGGGTTAGACTTCGTTTAAAATAAAAAGTGGATATGATAAATGAGAGTGTCTCTCTATTAGTGCTACCTGTGGGGAGAAATCTGAAATGGAAGCATCTGGAATTCAACATGTAAAGGATGCTGAAGATCTAAAATGATGCTCTGTGACACGTGCAGTCATAACGTTTAGCTGCTTTTATGGGTTGAACTCACAGTTTATATCTGCAGTATTAAGACGCTTCAAACTCTCCAGCATCATTGCACCAGGTCTAGACTATTTTGCATACATCAGTTTGCTTCTGACACATGCACATGAAAATGTGTGTGTCTAATGTGATACCGGCCGTGCTGTAACAGCTTCAACTCTTCAGGGAAGGTTTATGGGAATTTTTGGACATTCTCCCAGAGGCACATTTGTGAGGTCAGACACTGATGTTGGATGAGAAGGCCTGGCTCACAGTCCCCACACCATATTCCCCCCCTCTACTAAACTTTACACTTGACACAATGCAGTCAGACAAGTACCGTCTCCTGGCAACCAGCAAACCAAGACTGATCCATCAGACTGCCAGACAGAGAAGCATTCATCACTACAGAGAACATGTCTCCAATGCTCTAGAGTCCAGTGGTACCATGCTTTACAGCACTGCATCTGACACTTGTAATGTGTAATGTAAGGCTTAGCTGCAGCTCCTTAGCCATGAAAACCTTTTCCATGAAGCCCTCTATGCACATGTCAAGGCGGACGAGCTAATCTGAAGGCCATATGAAGCTTGGAGGTCTGTAGCGTTTGACTTGGCAGAAAGTTGGTAACCTCAGTGCTTTATGCCCTTCAGCATCTGCTCTATGGTTTTATGTTTTCTACCACTTTGTGGCTGAGTTGCTGCTGTTCCCAGTCTCTTCCACTTACCACTCCAATACAACTAACAGTTGACTGTGGATTATTTAATAGTGATTTAGTAGCAATTTCACGACTGGACTTGTTGCACAGGTTACATCCTATCGTGGTACCACGGTAGATTTCACTGAGTTCCTGAGAGCGACCAAATGTTTGTAGAAGCAGTCTGCTTAATTTTATACACCTGTGGCCATGGAAGTGACTGGAACACCTGGATTCAATGGCTTAGATGAGTTAATACTTAACTAAATATAATGTAGTGTATTTTGTGCTAGTTATAAATGTGACCTCATGGTATCCTTTAGAGAAACAGTGAGATTATGCATGAACTAATAGTCCCAGAGGCCGAGCTGAACCAACTGGTGGGTCGGTCCCAGAACTAGGATGCGACCTGAACTGTAGTGTTTACTGTTGTCACAGGTGGTGGATGACTCTCGCCAAACCAACCCGCCCGTCCTGCCCCGCCCCTCCAGCACCTTCAGCGGCTCCAGTCGGAGTCAGTACCACGACGTGGTGCCTGTGGGTGAGTCGGACAGACTTAAACTTCCACGTGTGGATGCAAGAATAAAGTGAAATCACACATACTGATTCTCTCCTCTTTTTCTTCCAGCCTACAATGACAAGATAGTGGCGTTTCTACGGCAACCCAATATATTTGAGATCCTGCAGGAAAGGCAGCCTGAGCTCGCCAGGAACCACTCGCTCAAGTATGCCTCTCTCTCAGTCTCCATCTCGGTCTCAGTCCGGCCTCCCGCGCCTCCATTATCGCCATCAGTCAAACTGAACACGTTTAACCTTTAATCTTGATGGACTGCATCTGGTTAGCCCCCTAAAGTGTGTGTGTGTGTGTTTGCAGGGAGAAAGTGCAGTTTATTCGCAGCGAGGGAGTCAACGGCTTGGCTCGCCTCTCCAGTGACGCTGACCTCGTCATGCTGCTGAGGTGAGTCCTGCAGGTGTGTCTGTGTGGGGACAGAGCCTGCTGGTCAAAATGATCACCACCTATGAAATGTCATAAATTGGTACCTTATGTCACCTTTTTGCCTCTGAAGTAAAATATTTGTGGACATCACACATGATTATTTGACCTACAAGTAGTATTTACAGTCATAATTACGTGCTGACTCATGTGAAGCGGCTGGCTTTGCAGCCTGCCTGATTTTATATATAAGCAACCTGCAATATTGCATTCCTGCTACCCTGTGTGTGTGTGTGTGTGTGTTTGTGTGTGTGTTTGTGAGGACTAACGCTGCCTGAAGGCGTATCATTTCCTTTATGCTGTCTTACAGTGTTCTCTGTGTGTGTGTATCTCTCTCTCTCTCTCTCTCTCTCATCTTCAGCTTATTTGAGGAGGAGGTGATGTCATATGTACCGCCATTACTCCACCCAGGTTACTGCCTCTCCTCTCCACAGAGTTCCCCCGGTGAGTCTCTGTTTCACTGTCTGCATCAACCCAGCATTTATTAAATTCTCACTTTTATATAATAAAAACTGTAAAATGAAAATGTTCGTGTATATGCTGTCTTACATAATAAACTTTATTAACGGTTTATAATCAATATACCTAAATTATATGAGTAATGATGAGTAACTACAGCATATTTATGGTGTATTTCCTGTGTCATCACAAGTGTAACTTTGACATGTTATGGTGTAGCTCCTGTGCAGTTGTAGTCATTGCAGTAAAATTATGTTGTATCTATGGTGTAATTACCAGCAGCTGTGGTGTATCTGCAGTGTAACTATTCTGTGACTTCTGTCTTGTTACATTGTAACAGCGCAGTAACAATGATGTAACTGTGACGTTGCTAAAGTGTAACAACACTTCGGAGTCTGGATTTCTGTTGGTCCAACATCCAGTCTGGGAGATTTTAGTCTCGTGTCTTCTTTCACCATTACCTAGAAAACCTGCTGATCTTGTGAGCCCATAATATTTGTAACGAATGCCTCGGATCTTTGGGAAGGCTGTAAACATGTTTATTTGTGCTTTAAACGTGACTTTTTAAAATGGGAGTCTGTGGACTGACTCACCTTTAGAGTCAGCCTCAAGTGGCCACTAGAGGAACTGCACTTTTGAGACTTCTGGATTGGCTTTATTTGCCTCTGAGGTTCTTGCTTATTTAAATTAAAAGAGAGAGAGAGAGAGAAAGAAAGCGAGAGATGATTTCAAGACGAATCTGTGTTAAGAGCTGCAGATGCTGAACACAGAGCTCATTCTCCTGCCTGGACTCTGCGTGTTGATGATTTGGGATTAAAGTAGCATCCTTTAAGATTAATCCACCACACAAAGTCAGCTGTCCAACCTCAATATTAAGATGAGAATGAGTCTTCATCCTGGTTTCAATCTGGAAACTGTGTCTGTAGTTCTGGTTTTCTTGGCCTTGACTTCCAGTTTCGATCCACGTTCGGATATAAAAGCACCAAGGTACTTTCAGGCTTTTTATGTGTGGTTTTATCTGTGCTGACCCACCTTCCATATTTGGAATATATTTTATCCCAAAGCTCCACCAGGCTGTTCATCTCTTTTTCTTCTCCTGCCAGCCCACCGGTGTTGCTAAAACATCCTCCCCCTATGCTGTCGATGCTGAGAGTTTCAGACTTCTGCTCCAGCATTTTGTCATAATTCTCTGCAGGATGACACTGAAAGGAGACAGGAACAGATAAAGGGAGCCACACACTCTGATAGAAAACACAAAAGGCTGCAAAGCACTTACCACCTCTCGAAACAATGTACTTTATTTAAGAGAATTGTTTCGATAAAAATCCAGCACACTTTATTCAAAGAAGCTTTTTGGAATGCGTCCTTGTCAGACTTGGTTCAAAACAAACATTTTCTTTGCAGCGCTGTTATTAGTGTTTTTCTTTTCACCTCTTTATGCTGAGCTGAGCTCTGATCACTGAGACGTGTATTTGCTCTAAAATTAATAAAAGCTTTAACAGTCTGATACAAAACAAATCCCCCCAAAACAATCCAGGATTAACCTGCATGCGCTATTTCTGATTGTCTACACAATCACTCAAGCTTTACTCAATTTCTGCTCGGGAACATTCAGATTTAATTTTATTTCTGTCTCCCTGTATCCATTTATCTGTCTTTACTCGTCTGTGCTCCTCTTTTTGTTCTTGCTCTTTCTCTTGCTTTGCATTCATTGTGCTTTTTACTGTCATTTACATCTCAGGTACCCAGCGAGCTAATGCCCGCGCCCCAGCTCCATATAAACGAGATTTTGAGGCCAAACTGAGGAACTTCTATCGAAAGCTGGAGACAAAGGGTTATGGACAGGGACCGGGGAAAGTCAAGTAGGTCTAAAAGCTCCAAAAAGATGAATTAATGAATGCTGATTTCTAAATTAAAATAAGAAATGTTATTTCTGAATAAAAACTGCATGTTCTGTTCAAAATCATAAACAGGTAGGAGGGCGAATTAAATTTCAGGAGGCACACCATCACGGGTTTAGCGTTAGGTATAACCCTAAAATTAGGCTTTACATATATACTGCTCAAAAAAAATTAAAGGAACAGTATGAACATACCTCAGACCTCAATAGGAAAAAAAATCATGCTGGATATCAATAATGATATGGACTGGGTAATACGTGAATGTCACATTGTTTGATGGAAATTAAAATGATTAACTTATAGAGGGCTGAATATAAAGACGCCCCAAAAATCAAAGTGAAAAAGTGATACTATTCCATTCTGATGAAATTGAATTGCACCAACTAAAAATAGTACTTCGTAGTTTCTAATGCCCCCATAATCCTAATGAGAGGACGGCTGGTGTCCTGGGGGATCTCCTAACAGATCTGGACATCACTGAGCACCTGGTCAGTCTGAGGTGAAGCCTCATGGCATTGGATGGACTCACACAAAATGCTCAAGGGGAGTTCCTGTGAGATAAAGAGCAATTCCTTCATCTCGCAGGAACTGCCTGCATACTCTTGCCACGTGAGTCAGGGCATTTGTCATGCACCAGGAAGAACCCAGGACACAGTGCGTCTAGCATGTGTCTGACAGTGCTCGTCCTGTTCCTTCCTGCACAAAGGAGCAAATACTGGTCCTGCTGATGTGTTAAGAGCCTCCTACGGGCCTGTCCAGCTCTCCTAGAGTCCATCTCCCGGGATCTCCTCCTGCTCTTGAGACTGTAATGACGTATTGATCATCACTTTATTTCTAAAGCACTTAAAAAAACAACATAACAGCTGACAGAAGTGCTGCACAAGAAATGAGAGAACAAGAATAAAGCAATTAATCCGCTATAAGTTCATTCATAGAACCTAGGGAACATTTGAAATAGTACAGGCACATACAAAGGGTAAGAGTTTAAGACCGATAACAACACTGGATTAAAAGCCAAAGAGAAAATGTCTATATTAATTTAAAGTCAGCAACAAATGGAGACTGCCTGACTCGTTCCACATTTCAGGAGGCAAAACTCCGAAGTCTCTGTCGCCTCTGGATTTATAAAATATCTCTAAAATATTGATGTGCCATCCTGGAGGAGCTGGACTACCTGTGCAACTAGGGTCCAGGTATCACCTCACACTACCAGTAGTGACATTGAACCTAGCCAAATGCAAAACTAGAGGAAAAACAATCAAAAAGAATGAGGAAGGAAAAAATGTCAGTGAGCCCCACCTGTAAAACCGTTTGTGTTGTGGGGGTTGTCTCACTGATGCTCCTCTAGTTCACCTGTTCACCCTCTGACCATATCAGTATCCCAGAGGTTTAACTGACTTGATGCTATACTCTGATTAAAAGGTGTTCCTTTAATATTTTATTTTCAGCAGTGTATTTCAGTCCGGACCATTTTAATCAAAAGATGATTGTATGTTTTCATCAGTAGTGGTTTATAGTTGGCGCTCTGTTTCTATAACCGTGTGTGTGTGTGTGTGTGTGTGTGTGTGTGTGTGTGTGTGTGTGTGTGCACCCCCAGGCTCATCATACGCAGAGATCACCTTCTGGAGGACGCCTTTAACCAGATCATGTGCTACTCCCGTAAAGACCTGCAGAGGAGCAAGCTTTACGTCAGCTTTGTAGGCGAGGACGGGTCAGAGAAACACATTTACCTCCATTTCATTGGCGTTACTGTTCTTAATAACATGAGATGTTTGCTCACCTCATGCAGGGTAGAGTTTTCTGTTCTCATCTCAAGTTTCAAAGCATAATGTTTAACGCACATCGCCACAGTGCAGGAATGATTGTTTATAACATCAGCATACAGGATTGCAAAAATGAACTGAACAACAGGCCCTTCATCGTACCAGCCAAAAACCGAAAATCTACCTCATGTTTCAGTTATTGTTTCACCTGCGCTGACTGTGTACATGAGAGAGAGAATCTAGGACCGGTAGAATAACTTAATAAAGTTTTAAAAGTCAGTTTAACTAAAACAAAACAAAGGAGACATTGTGTCCCTTTAAAAAAAGGTCAATAGCAGGAAATTAAATGTCACCAAATTTAACAACAAATCATTTTATACGCCTGTACCCGTCTCTTGTTTCCAGTGCAGAAGTATCGTGATTGTGAGGCTGCAAAATCCCATAAACACTAAATGCGTTCTTCCTCTGATCCAATCATCAGCCAGAGTCATCAAGGTTCATATGCATGTGTACTCTCATTTTGTTTGTGTGTTGCAGGCTGGACTACAGCGGACCCTCCAGAGAGTTTTTCTTCTTGGTATCCAGAGAGCTGTTCAACCCATACTATGGGCTGTTTGAATATTCAGCTAATGACACGTACACTGTCCAGATCAGCCCCATGTCTGCCTTCGTGGACAACCACCACGAATGGTGAGGTTTCTGTCAGCCTGTGATCTCTGCCTGCCTGTTTGTTTGTTTGTTGCTGTGTGTGCTCCTGTGCTAAATGTAAGGTGTTAATTTTATCTGTCCTGAATGCTGATCCCAAAATGGAAGCAATTTGTGGAGAGCTGTGTGGAAATTTGGATCAGCAGTCTGTCACAAGTCAGTTTTTTGCTCAGTGGATGGATGGATGGAGGTCTGAGTAACATGGAAAACAGGTTTAGTAACATGAACCATAGACTATAGTATTCCTGTGCTACATTGCAGACTTGCTACATTGCAGATTTATCTGTAAATTTATATTGCCGGAATTTCATTATATCACAGGTTTCTGTTTCTTATAGGTATTTTTTTATTATATTATTTTTTTAGATTTTTTATAATAATGGATTGCATTTATATAGCGCTTTTCAAGGCACCCAAAGCGCTTTACAATTCCACTATTCATTCACTCTCACATTCACACACTGGTGGAGGCAGCTACAGTTGTAGCCACAGCTGCCCTGGGGCAGACTGACAGAGGCGAGGCTGCCATATCGCACCATCGGCCCCTCTGGCCATCACCAGTAGGCGGTAGGTGAAGTGTCTTGCCCAAGGACACAATGACCGAGACTGTCCGAGCCGGGGCAACCTTCCGATTACAAGACGAGCTGCCAACTCTTGAGCCACGATCGCCCCATGAGGTATAAGAGTGTAGGGAGGGCTTATGTGGCTTAAATATATATATAGGTATACTGTTTATGTGAAAGCTGGATGCAGCCACCATGATATCGCTCACCGGTTTCAACAACAGTGTGCTGGCTGCTGCCGTGTTACTTTTTTTGGAGCCAGAAGTGACCATATTTAGTATCAGGTAATGTTCACTAGCTTTTTTAGCAAGCTGCCTCTCTAATCTTTATCAGTGTATCAGACTCAGATACTTGGTAGTTAGTGCTAAGAAACAGAAGAGTAAAACACCGGTCCATTACATAAAAGTTCCCACATATGAACTGCACCTACCAGTGCTGCCGGTACTTCCTCTGTGTCAGAGATATTATATTGTGTATTTCTAAATACACAATATTTCTAAATACAAATGAGTACATTCACTAGAATCAGATCTATCTATTTGATTCTAGTGAATGTACTCATTTTGAACACTGCCATGCAGAACGTGAGCAGAGAGAAAGCGAGAGAATTTGATCTATTTGCTGTCACATACGTTGTAGAATGTGACTCTGCCTCAACACCTAAACAGGAAAATGAGCACAGTTAGGGGTTGAAGTGGGATATGGCAGGTGGGGGTACCCTAAGATCATTTGTAGTGCTGTGACCACCAACCCAGATCATTCTGGCCCACTTTAACCCCAGAGTATAGCACCATGAATGGTGGACAAGTTATGTGGTTTTTGCTCTTTCATCTCTTTGTAACCGATAAGCACAGATACACCGATAGGATTCTCTTTTATGTGTCATTGTTTCCTCCATTTAGCTTTAAATGTGTTTGATGTTTGAAGGCATGCAGGGCTGGGAGATAAATACTTCCCTCAAATGTATTAAACCTAAGACAGTAGATGCTATAGATATTTATGTAAAGATATGGGGAGTAAAATAAATACTCTAGTAAAGTACAGATACATGAAAATTCTATTTAAGTACACCTGGTGGTCAGGTAGGATGGACTCACTGAGTTTCTTGTGTTTTTCTTTTTTTGAAGAAGGATCTTTACTAGAATTTCACTCACCGAACCTTCTTGAATCGCCATGTTATTAGGCAGTTTCAATTAAAAATGCTCCAAAAAATGTCCAGTTCAGGGACTCCAGCTCTAAAGTGACACCATATTTAAAGCAGTTACATCCCTAGATTTAAGCTTTACTAGTATCCAAATAGTGAATTAGGAGGAAAAATCAACTCTCATGCAGCTGTGATGAAGTTGGAGATTGGTTATAAAGAACAAAACTGTTTTTGTATCAGGCTGTAAACATGTTTATTTTTGCTGTAAAGTTGGACATTTTAACATGGGAGTCTATGGGGACTGATTCACTGCTGGAGCCAGCCTCAAGTGGCCGTTAAAGGAACTGCAGTTTTTGTTCTTTGGGGAAAGTTGTTTGTTATATCGTACAGTAGAGGCAATTATCAAGCCAAACCTATGTTTGAAAGAACAAAGACAATTTTCTGATGTTATAGAAGTTTCACAACCAGATAGGATCGAGAAGCATCTTTAAAATATGATGCAGATACCAAATTGTTTGTTATCTTCCCTCCTGGTTGGGATTTGTTCTGCCAACGTCAATCTTGTTCTCACAAACCATCTTTAAGATTCTTATTTGTTGTCTCTATTTGTTGGGTCCTCAATCAAGAGAGTTTTAGATATCATAACATGAACATAATGTGTGGAAGGTGCAGCAGACTATGGCACAATGTTTTTGCATCCACAGGAAAAGATGTAGAATCTGGTTCCTGTGTTGTTTAGACAGTGTGAAAGAAAGCAAGATCACTGCGGTCCTGATGTTGCTGCTGTCTGTATTCACACATATTTTCCATGTTTTATGCAGGTTTCGCTTCAGCGGGCGCATCCTGGGGCTGGCCCTTGTTCATCAGTACCTGCTGGATGCCTTTTTTACCCGTCCTTTCTATAAGGGGCTTCTTCGCATGTAAGTGCCTCAGCCTGCTTCCATTCATTGCAAGTCAGCATGCAGGGTACCAGCACTTCCTCCCTGACCAAATAAGACCTTGAATGTTTCAGTCAGTCAGCAGCTGTCTGCTTCTCCTGTCAGTAGGAGCAGCTCCCTTATTAAGCTTTGTCCAAACAACCTGAAACGCTGCCAAATGTCTGCACTGAGGACAGATGCTGTATTAAATGTGTTCTTAACCTCTCGGGCAGCAGCGATGTGTTCTTGGCTTTATCACCATTAGTGCACAGATAAGCATTTATCAAATGAAATGTCATATGTTCAGTCCAATATAGTGCTGAATGATCTTAGTATAACCAACAGAGCAAGTGAACGTGCATATTTTCCTGACAATAATAACACGTGGAAATTATGCAAAAGCATTCAAAAGATCAGCAAAAGATTTGACACATACCTATGCTTCATCTCCATACTTTGTATAATTAACCTTCAGCCTCACTTCTTAAAATCAGCTGACGATGATTAATGAGCAGGTCATCCCCACTTGTTGACCCCGCTGTGACCCTTATTCATGCAGCCCGTGTGACCTGAGTGATCTGGAGTTCCTGGATGAGGAGTTCCATCAGAGTCTGCAGTGGATGAAGGACAATGACATCGAAGACATGCTGGACCTCACCTTCACTGTGAACGAGGAGGTCTTTGGACAGGTGCGTCTTCAGTCTGTGGCGGCGCCGTGGAACAACAAAAGCAGACCGCAAATTTTATGTGTTATTCCTCTGTAAATCTGCAGATCACAGAGCGAGAGCTTAAGCCGGGCGGGGCTGGCATCCCTGTGTCAGAAAAGAACAAGAAGGAGTATATTGAGCGAATGGTCAAATGGCGCATCGAGAGAGGCGTGGCCCAGCAGACAGAGAGCCTGGTCCGAGGCTTCTACGAGGTACAGTGCCGGTGTTACAAATGTTAGAGGTGTCAAAAAGACAAGATAAACAATGCTAAAATCCTCAAAGGGGTTTTAGGGGCATCCCCAAAATCCAACTAAAGGCCTCAAATAAATGCATAACTAAATAAATAAATACAACTTTATTTGTGTGGCATCTTTCAAAACAGAAATACAGAGAATTCCTCATGTGGGAGGACAGATTTCCAAGGGTATAGGCCTGAAAATTTCTGGATCAGATTTAAAGATTCGTCAGCTGCTTAACAGTTGAAATTCAAACTATATTTATGGATTATCTGAGTGGAAGCATACTGATAAAGAACAAAAATGGGACCCAGGATTGAGCCCTGGGGGATGCCAGAGAGCCTGAGGATGTAGGGGGAGGACAAAGCAAGTCTTGCATCCCTAGTACCAAAACACCATTCAAGGTAGTTTATAAGTTTATGATGGTCAGCCATATCTATATCTGTATTTGATTAGAGAAACTAATTTTTAATTTATCTATCATTTTTCTGTATAAATATTGTTGTTTTTAGTCTACAATTAAATAATTGTGTAATTAAAAGGGGATCTATCATGCTTAGTTCCATCTTTGCTTGGTCCCTCAGTTCATCTTCTGGCTGAAAGAAGCAGTTTTAGCTCCTCCCCATTCTTCTGATTGGCTGCTCCTCACATGCAGAATTTTGAATTAGCTGGGAGGGGCTTTTGCACTCTGAGCTACCCATATAAGGATATCCCCTTTTTGTAACAACATAGAGATCCAAAAATAATAAAAAAGAGTGTTTAGTTCTGTTTTAACTTTCAGCTTCTGGTTCACAGGGATTAAGAACATGTATATGTATGTATATGAATAACATAAGGGAAAGCATAAAAGGTCCATTTTAAATGTGACAGCATGAATATTTTTTCTTGATGTTTTAATTTCTGTTATTCATATTGGCTTTTTTTTATCTTAAAGTGCTCACGACTGAGACTTTAGATGGCCCGTATAAGCAGAGGGACTGATTTACTGATGTTTTTATTGGTACCTGAACATAATTTTAAGTACTGACTTGAAAAATGCTTGTGCTTTATTGATGCCATGAGCCCCAGTTAAAATAACAATAAGTACAATTTTCTCCTTTATAGCACATAATAGGTATTATCAACCCCATCGATCAATACCGGTGACGCAGTATGGCTGCGTTATTGCAGTAGCTGGCTGAAAATCCTCTTTCTTTTTGAACCAGTGCTAACCCAAATGGACATCTGGCATTTGCAGCAGTGCACGATGATGCAGCTTCAAGTTGAAGGGCTAGATATGCTCACGATAATGCCAAAGGAGCAAATGACAAGTTAGCATTTAAGCGATCTACACTGTGATGTGCTAACTCTTTATTAGATGTCTGTGATGTTAGCTCTCTTGTCATGATGGGCATTAAAGTAATTCAATGAAAAAGATTACCTGGAGGTACCTGTTGTGGTGCAGTAACGGCAGCTAAACCTGTGCTCAAAATCTTTTGAAATATTGACAAAGCCGAGAATGCTTTCTAGTTAAAGTGCTGGTGTGTTAAGGTTTTAGTTATTCATCTCGCCTGTTTTATCTAGAGGGGTTGTCAGAGTGTTGTTAATCTTATTATTATATGAGAGCATGGATAGCAGCAGTGGTGTAATGTAACTTACATAGTATTTGTACTTTTTACTCCAGACAAAGTATTTTTAAGGCTCTATTGCTTCTTATTTTGTAGATTTTTAATATAAGCTTACTCATATATAATTCTGCATTGGTTATGCCCCAGTAATATGATTCTGCACAATGAGTACTTAGATTATGTTAGATTACATTAGGCACTTTATGTAAACACTCACTGGCCGCTTTAATAAATATTAAGTCTCTTTCCAGAAATCATCAACTGTACATTTACTTTAGAAAATCCACCCATAACAAGTGGACGCGCTACTTGGGTAACAACAAACTTAATGTGGGACAAACAGTAAGTGTATTGATCCTGAGAGGCATTCAGCATATGAAGGGCATGTCTTCTGAATGTGTGAAAAGGTGCTGAAATTTAGTCTATGTTTGTATTCTCCTTTATGCCTCAAATACCTTTAAAACTGTTGTTTCAGCTGCTCTTTTGTCTAGAGTTGTTTGGGTTTCAGTGAGGATCCATCAGCTCCATGCTTCTGGAGATAAAAATAAGAAAAAGGTCTATGTTATGACCGCTTTTCCTTTTATTTGTGATCATTTTCATCATTTTCTACAAAAATCTGCATAGCTTTGTGTCTTTGTGATCACTGATCACTAGTGAAAGAAGGCGATTTGTTAACCTGCGGAGATCAAACGTGACAGCCTTTCATTAAAAGCTTTTAATGAATGAGACTTTAAGAAGAGGGTCAGAAACAGAGCCAATCAAAATGTGGGACAGGGAGACGAGAGATAAAAATGCTGCCCACCTGGTCACCCCGTGTGACTACTGACAACGTGACAGAACAGGAAACATTAATGGAGTCGCTCCTCGGCTGAGCTGTATTATCAGATAGCTGCACTCTTCTTTTGCTTGGCGGATGTAGACAGAAGAAAGAAAATAGTTCCTGCGCAAAGCTGCTCTCAACAGTTAGTAGACTTTTATTTTTTATTTTTTGAGTAACCAGGTCATTATTTCTGGACAGAGACATAGCTGCTGAGTTATTAAAATGGATTTTTTTGGCACCATAATGTAACTTCTACCATTTATTACATTCAAGAGAAGGCAGATGTCTCCAAAACTTGGCAGTCAACGTCAGAACAATTTAGATGGATAAACAGCGCTGCAGGCCAAAGGAAAAATATGTAGCTGTCCCTTTAACACTCCAGGAAAATAGATCTGATAGCCTGCTGTCATACAAAGAAAAGACAGAGTGATGAGGAGTGGGTTGTAATGT